TGCGCTAGTAGAATACAGTATTCATTAAATGCTTATTAACAAATTAAACAAAAACAATGCAACTTAGCTTACTGTTGGGTCTATACAAAACTTGTGGAATTTAATGTTGTAGAATTCCGTACAATTTATTACTGATTATTACTGGTGTAGTTTTTGATTAGCAAATAGAGGAGGAAATTCTCCTCCTCTATTTGTTAATTAAAATATACATCAGTATAATAAGTTCTATTAATAAACAAAATCCAAATAGACAGTATAATATACACAGAAAGGTTTCGATTCTATTTCGATTGTTTTGTAAGAAACTCTGAATAATCAGATGTAAAACAAAATAAAAGCGATAATGAATAAAGCAAAATGACAAGTTTAAAATTCACTACGTGTTATAAAATTTGTTATTTCACTGTAACAATGAGTCAAGTTAAATTTAAAATATTTTACTTAAAGAATATGTCATAATCCTCGCTCAGTTGATATATACTGCGGGTCCTATTCAGATAGAAAACAAGAAAAAGCATCCATCTTGAATGTGCTTATAAGGAAGCGTTCCAAGAATAAATTCGGATGCCCACCAGTGGCCGAGTGGTCTCCGTTGCCGCTCATATCGGTGGTGACAGGACCCTAAACACTGGGAAGTTCGTCGTGGGTTCGCGCCACGATCGGACAGGCTGGCTGCTTGGAGTTTTCCGGGTTTTCTCCTTGCCAATAACGACTGAATAGGAGGCCAGTTTCCCATAAAAGTCCTCACGGCGAAGTCGAAGGCATTATTTCCCGCGCGCGCGTATAGGCCGTTCGGATACGGCTGGCTCATCGGTCGCATAGCGATCATAAAACATATGTCTAGTCGGAGAAAGAGCCTATAGAGCTAAAATCTCCATATATAAACAACATCTGAGAAGAAAGAAATTAGGATAAATCAGTAGATCGTTCCTGAAAATTCAGTAGATAGTTTTTTTTGCCCGATTGTCCTTCAATTTGATTTGTTTTTACGTTCTGTTTGCTGAATTTACTAATTGTTGTTGTATATTCGTTCAAGTGAATGATTGTCTCTTTAATCCGAAAATATTTCTCTCGGTAGACTATCTTACTGCAAATCAGGTCCAGAAACTCTTTTATTGTATTTTCAATTCATATGCATTTCGAACTGGTTTCATTTTCCAGTTCCTCTTCAGTGCTCTACAGTTATAATTACAGATATTGAGTTTACAAAAATACAAATTAAAAAATTAAACTGCGTAGAGATATCAAATAACACAACGGAAACATTATTACTAGTACCTTTAAGAATTTTATACGCTTATTTTTTTCCTTTTTCCCGAGTTACATTCATACGGTACTTGTATTTATCTTATGAAATATCTTTCTTGGCGTAAACCGTGATATGATTAAACAATCTCTATAAATAATAATAATAATACAATCATTAATGGTTGAACAAGTAGCAAATATAATACTGAGAGAGCTTGCATATTGACACAAACATGATGACAGGACAGAATACAACACATCAGTATGTATGTATAAGTTTGTAGACATAGGAATACATAGAAATTTACATCATACACTCACAAACACAGTTTAATACACAATTAAACCACNAAAACTATTTACAAATAATTAATATAAAAACCTTTTTAAAAATATTTTTTTTTAAAATTTAAATATACATACAGGTTTTTTCTTCAATATCATTTAAACAATATTCTATTTAACACTAGTTATGTGTCGTATAAATTCACAAGTGTTAATTCATGCACAATAACCTTTATGACACTTGGTGTTTACCAAGGACTATATACTGTAGTTTAAAGTCCTTGGGTGTTTACGTTTTACAAACAATTCGCTTGTTTATTGTTACGTCCTCTATAATTTCATACCATTGTTGTTCAATTTGCATTCCATTAGAGATATTTACAAGATTATTTTTATTTTTTTTTATATGATTTCAATATGTTCTTTGATTTCAATATGTTTTTTAAGAACATATAAAAAAATTTTTTGAATTTGTATTTTTGTAAACTTAATATCTGTACAGGTAACCCCCGTATAACACGGCACTTCTATACCACGGATTCGCTCTAACACGGTTCGAGAATTGGTACCATCCCCCGTATAACACGGTACTTTTATAGCACGGATTCACTCTGACACGGTTCGAGAATTGGGTAAAACCCTCGTACAACAGGAAATGTAATAAATTTTTACATACTTAAGTAATAATAGTTCACGAAAATTATTATTTTCGTGAACTATTAGTACTTAAGTATGTAAATTTTCTCTTCTCGCCTTCTGTCGATACACGTGGTCCTTCTCGAAACTTGTTTCAATGTTGCCAGATCGCGACGCTTCTGCTTCTGATGTTGCCGAATGTTTTTCCCTTATTCCATACTTGCTTTATTCTTCATAAGTGCTTAGCACCATATAAGGAAATTTATAAAGACCTTTTAACTAGAAGCAAGCAATCTAAAATTACATACATTTTGCAAAAGGTAAAGCATGGATCTGAAGATAATGCAGAAAAATGCTCAGAGGATAAGGATAACTTGCCAAAAAGAAAACGCTCTCGGTTAATTAATAGTGTTTTTAGTGATGACGAAGAAAACATTGTTTAATTTATATTAATATGTATCACTTAAAAAAATTTTAATGAAGATATTTATCTTAATTATGAAAATATACTAGCATGATTTTTAATTTTTGGAACCTAACCCTCCTTTTCGTATTAGTTCTTTGTTTCGTATAACACGGATTCGCACAACACGGCAATTTTTTGGAACGTAACTACCGTGTTATACGGGGGTTACCTGTAATTATAATTGTAGAGCACTGAAGAGGAACTGGAAAATGAAACCAGTTCAAAATGCATATGAATTGAAAATACTGTACAATAAAAGAGTTTCTGGACCTGATTTGCTGTAAGATAGTCTACCGAGAGAAATATTTTCGGATCAAAGAGACAACCATTCTATTTGCTATTTTTCTGCATTTATATAAAGTACGAAACAACATAAAGTGTCTGTATGCCGAAAATTCTAAGACAAAAAGTAATAAAAATCTTTGTATTCAATACAATTCAATACAAATATAACAAAAAGTTTTTTGAATGATGTATACAAACAAATAAAACAAAGGCATTCTTTGTCTAAGGGTAGGCAGATTCAGTCTAGTAAATAATATATTACAAACTTAATATAACTATATGAACACAGATTTGATTTGTATTTGATGTAGCAATTGTTACTATCACAAACAACTTTTTTTAATTGTCACTATTTGTATGTGTAAAATCATTAGTGTCGTCTTTGTTATATTAATACATATCACTGTTAAGTAACCGATAAATCTTTCGTTATACTGATTTGAAAACGTTCATTCTGCAACTTCATTGTAATGCTCGATGTGTAAAAAATCATAAATGTTTGTTTTACGTAGTCCGATTCTTTTATTCAAAGTGTAGGTCATTCATGGTCTATAAGATCTGAATAACATTCTTAAAATAAATAGCGATCCATTTCTTGTATTTAAACACATGTTAAACAGCAAAAATGCGTCATTTGTCACGAATATAGAAGAAAAATTAACTCATTTTATACCGTCTTTTATTATTATTTATGATACTTTTATGTACGCGACCTTTGTGCACCCTGCACTTGAACCAAACCAGCAATCTAGTGTCCCTAGATATAACCCAAATTTAAAATTTGATATTCTTACTATAAACAAAAGATTGGTATGAGACCCCTTGTTGATGGTGGCCCCAAGCAATTGCCTTTTTTTCCCATAGGATAACGCGCCACTGTATACATACACCTTTATACTTATAAAGGTGTACAATTCTAACTTAAATTTATTATATTACTATAATATTCGCTTAGTTTATTAATGGAATTCATTGAATATTAGTATATTAAATTTATTTGTAATGAAATCATTCCAGAATATTATTTCAAGGTTGTTTTTGCCTGTTATATATTGTTTACTTGAATAGGATATTTTAAATATCATCGTGTTATTAAATACGGATATATTTGAAGAGGAATAGATTCAAAATAAAGGGGTATCCTTTTCCATCTTTTCATGTGTATTTCTATCGCTAATAGTGTAAAAATACACATTTATTGCACATCTCGAATTGAAGAGTCTCAGTATCCATCGGGAAGAACTCAAATTGTCCCGGATTTTATCTCCAAGTACCTGGCAACTGTAATTACGTGTGATGCTTAGGCACTCGGACACTGGTGAGCCCAGCCAAAAAGAAAAGAAAAAAATAATGAAAATAAAATTTTAGAAATAGAATAAATCCTGTTTAGAAAAGAACATGATTGTACAGGACAGAATTTTCTCTCTGGAATCCGCAGAAATTGCCAGATTCTAGAGAGTTAAAATCCAGTTTAAATCGAATAAGAAACTGACCAAAACGAACAATTGCGGCGAACTTTGAAATAAACATTACAGTATCTAAGTTTGAGGTTGTACATCACTCCTACCGAGAGACGTAATTTACATAATCACGTGTGACAACTTTAGTAAAAAGATTATTTGAGATTTACATAAAAATTAAAGTATTAAATAATCAAAAAGCCAATTTTCACTACACGCTAAACAGTTTCGAATTTGTACATTCGAAACGTTCCGAACGATTCAAAATTTAAAGTAAAATTCAATGTATAACATATTTTTTTTGATTCTGATGAAACCGTGTTGTTGTTATTAAGCTGTTTCTTTGCAGACACACTAAGGTGACATATATCAACACTTGGCAACTTATTGACTATTTATTCAGTTGGTAAACTGAATAAATAGTCAATATAATGTATAACATATATTAATTACGGTATACATAATAAACCACTAATTGCTGTTTATTAAAATGACTTTGGCTCCTCTTTACCAATAAAAACATGGCTCTGAAAAGAGCCGTTTGGTCACTAGATTACAGTAATCTAGCAATTCCGTTTCCGGTTCTCTGGGACATTTGTGAAGATGAACGTTCTACTGACTCCCTATTTTCTTTCTGCCTCGACTGCCCCTTCTATGAGATCTTGCGCTTCGTTCCTTTCTTCTCTTCGATCGTCCTCTTTCTTTCCTTTTTGCCATCCTTTTCGGTTTTGATCGTCTTCTTCCGATCTTCCTTTCCTTCGATCTCTTTCTAGCTGTTCTCTTGCTTCCCATACGTTTTCTTCGAATGTCTCTTCTTAATTTTTTGCTGTAGTCGTTGTAGACGTCGTTTAAAGTCCGAAGCAGGTTTCGATCGACGGGAGTCAATTTCTTCACTCGAGAGGAATCTTCCTCTAACACGGAAGGGGTGAGATCGCGTTTTCTCTTTTGCGCTATTACACGATCGTCCATAATGTTCTTTTTCTTTGGAACGAAAGAAGAATAACGGAATTCGATTATTCGAACGGCGTGTTTTTAAAAGAAACGATTCTGTTCTACGTCAATCGAATACTTAAATTTGAATTTAAAGTTCATTTTTGTTTTTTTTTTCTTTGAAACGATACAGTTATAATTTCATTAGCGTTATTTAAAATGTTTGTAGCAGTAAATTTTTAAAATTATAATCTCTTGATTTAGTTTAAAAATTTTCACAAATAAGTTTAATGTTTTCGCAGTTTATATATTGAAAGAATGAAAAAGCATGGACGCGGTGTAATATTCTTACTTCTAACACAATGCAACAGTGAAAAAACTTTTCTCGAAAATGTAGGCGTTCTTTATGTATTTCGATCTTCTGAATTAGAAAATGATACTCAAAACATCGTATCATCTACAGTTTTTGCACAAATCGCATAAATAACAACAATTTAATTATTAATTTACTTAAGAGATGGCGCCTAACGCTTACCTCTAATGACAAATTACTTTATTCTAATCATTTAATTAGCCATATAATAGCCCGATATTTAGGCGATCGTTCGGCAGTTTAGTAGTTACAAATCGCATATTTTGCCAATAATGATATCATATATAAAAGTAGTACATAGTCTATATATGGCACATGAATCATGCAGAAGTAGAATATAAGTTTAAAACAACAGCATATTGAAATATATACACAGTGAACAGATGCATACAGAGAATGTGGTACAAAACATGCACTAATATCATTCATTGCGTGCTTTCTTAGTTGTCATGGCGTGGCCCCTGCTTTTTCTCTTATAGGGAATTTCCGTTATGTGCTCACGGTGAAGCATCCAGCAGTAGTCGCCCATCATCCGAACATCCCAAGTTCCCTGGTATCGTCGTTCCATGTCCTTGATATCCTGATGGAATCTTTCACCCTGTTCCTCACTTACAGCACCCAGGTTTGGAGGAAAAAAGGTGCGAATTTAAAAAATGTAACTTCAAACTCATTGAGCATTCGAGCATTTTGAATTTCATCAGCATGTTCCCAACTATGTCGATATATTCTAAGCTACGATTGTTTCCCAGAAAGTTTTGAACCACACACTCAAAGGCAGTCCAGTCTTCTCGCTCCACGGCATTCATTGAATGAAGGAATTCGTCTAGCATTACTTTCCGAATATAGGGACCAGTGAACACGCCCTCTTTCAACTTACCATCTGACAGGTTGGGGAACTTGCAACATAGATATTTGAAACAGTTGCCACACTTATTTAATGCTTTGACAAACTGCTTCATTATGCCCAATTTGATGTGCAGAGGTGGTAAAATTATTCTGTCTCTTTCCACTAGAGGGTCACACTTAATATTTTTGTCCCCTAGAACTAATTCCAACCTTCGAGGCCACTGTTTTTACTCTCAATGTTTGTCACGAGCTCGACTGTCCCATTCACAGATGAAACAGGGGAACTTGGTATATCCTGATTGTTGTCCTAGAAGCATACTCAACACTTTGAAATCACCACACACCATCCAATTGTGATCCTCATAATGAATGGTAGTAAGAAGTGCCTTAATGTTGTCATATGTTTCTTTCAGGTGCACAGACTGGCCGACAGGTATTGAGGCATTGAGGTCATTATTGCAAAATATGCGATTTGTGCAAAAACTGTGGATGATACGATGTTTTGAGTACCATTTTCGAATTCAGGAGGTCGAAATACATAAAGAACGCCTACATTTTCGAAAAAAGTTTTTATGACCTTGCAATTTGTTGCATTGTGTAATCGTTAACAAATGTTTTTGTCCTATGTAAAATTGTCACGTTTTGTGAACTCTGATTGATTTCAATTGATTTCAGTTCTTGCGTTTGAAAGTATTATTTCAAACACAAGAATTTGGTTTATGTTAATACTTATCAGACGTATGTATTAATACAGGAAATCCTCGTTAGTTCGAAATTCAAAGGACGAAATAATTTCCAGGTATTCTTCGGTTAACGAGACACCAGTCAAACCATAAAATCCGATTTGCGTTTACATCTTAATATTTGCTTTAATTTAGATTAAATCGTATATAAAGTTAAGTAGAATGCAAACTTACCCTTTCCTTTAAGTATGTATAAAAGTTATAAAAGTCGATTATGAATTTAAACAATGAGTGTTAATACATGTTTCACATCGAAAACGATTAGCATGTTTTCGCGTTAGTATAATTAAACCTTTTTTTTTAAATGTATTTTTAACCTACTTCGCATAGTACCATGTTCATAGTTGTCTCATACGATATCGTCACGATACAGTCATTCTCATTGCATCAGAAAAAGAATTACAGACATTGTTAGTATCAAACTAGTATCAAAAAGTGAAGAAATTGGGACTCACAATAAATATAAAGAAGACTAAGACAATGTGCGTAAGTAAAGATACACACACAATAAAGCTAAAATGCAGAGGAGAGAACCTAGAACAAGTAGTTAGCTTCTGCTACTGAGGAAAAAAATTTTATTCAAACAATAAATTTAACAAAGCAGAATTGGACAGGCTAAAGACAAGTTTAACCAGACGAAAAACATTCTGTGTGAAAAGAAACTGAAGCTTCAATTAAGACTAAAAACGCTAAAATGCTATATTTGGCTCATTTTGCTTTACGGATATGAGACATGGACACTACGGAAAGATATGGAGAGGAAAATTTAGGCCTTTGAGATGTGGTCAATCAGAAGAATAATGAAGATCAAGTGGACAAGCAGGACCATTAATGAAACAGTTTTACAGATGGCAGATACAGAAAGAGAATTAATAAATATAATTAAGAAGAGAAAACTGTGGACACATATTGAGGGGGGAAAATATGAAATCTTCAAACCCGCATTAGAAGGCAAAATTGATGGAAAAAAATCAAGGAAAAGAAGAAAACGGAGCTGGATGGACGACCTCAAGGAATGGACGGGACTGGATGCGAAAGAAATTATTCATAAAAGTCACAAAAGAGAACAGTGGTATTTGCTGGCCACCAACCTCTCTTAGGAGAATGCAAGGACAGAAGAAGAAGAACGAAACGATGACGTCATCTGTGTATATATCAAAATATATTTTATGCTAGCAGATGAGTCCGGAGTTGCTGGGGCAAAAAGTAACGATAGCAAAGATTAAGATAATTACATTATAGCCATCTTACCCGTTTTCACAGAATGCAAGAATTAGGTCCTCCGTTTCCAGACTAATTAGAGAATTTTTACATGGGTCTAAAAATATGTTCGATTTTCTGCAAAAACGCAAAAAACCGCACCTGCGCCTGTAAATCTTGCACGCCGCTTTCTCTTCCATTGTTACTCAACACTTTCATTCTTAACACTTCCATTGTTAACGAATACACTTCTTTCACCCCCCGTGGTACCCTACTAAATTTGGTAGCCTACTAAAACGCAGTCAAAAACGCAAAAAATCGCATCTAAAAATAGTACAATAGAAGCCGAGTTCTTTAGGGTAAGCCTTAACTTCCAGCCCTTATATCTTCAACAGCATGTCCTTCAGGTAAAAACGGGAACCTTCTTCATGGATGGGAGATAGAGGGCTACCATATCATATAACTCCCTTGATCGTACCGGGACTCGTTTTTGAGTTTTAGCTGCACGCACATTGTACACTTACCTTTATAATATACAGTCGACCCCCCTATAACGTAGGTTCCTATAACGGAAATTCCTTTAACGTAGCGAAAAAATTGTAGCAGTGTTCGTATAAAGTGACTCGTAAAACGTCGTCGCCGACTCCTGTCGCGACAAGATTGGTCTAATCTGAACCAATAGTGGACGAGCAGCCGAACTACTTTCCGCCGCCCAGCGCCACGCTACGGAGACTTTAGGCGGCTAAATTGAGTTTGCTATCGTCTGTACAGTATTATATATAAATTATATATAAATTAGGTACTGTACATATAATTATATATTAATTATATATAAATTAGGTACTGTATATATAATTATATATTAACTTAATTTATTGTAACTTTATTATAATTA